CCTGCTGTGCTCAAAACACCCTTGGCACTTCAGATGAATATGCCTGTACTTTGATTTTAAAGTGGATTAACCATCTTTTTTTTCAAGTGTACAGATGGAAGACAGACTGGTTATATTACTGGGAAAACTTCAGTAGGAGCAAGGCTTTAAAAACACAATCCAGTTTTAAGCTTGGTAAGACTCTTTTTAGTGAAAGACAACATGGATATTGAGAAGATGGAAAAACTGGTGCTGGACTCTAATCAGAAGCTTGTTAAAGCATGTTCAATATGGGGATGGGAACCACAATAAACTAAGGTAAAACCTGCCTGACTTGAAAGCCTGTAACTTACCTACAAGACTTCTTCTGAGCCCCCAAAATGAAACGGGATAGCAAGCTTACAGTAAATAAACCCATACAGTTTGCAAGGGTGTATTTTATCTGTACAGTCAGCTAAGCATGTTGAAATGTTTATAAACAGCATTTGCAAAAACATCCCACAAAATACCTGAGAAGGCATTAAACACACAGATTGCTATGGAACTGCTGATTATTATCGTTAGAAAATAGCTGCAAGTTTAACCCCTCACATAAAATCTCCTGTTAGTTAACGTGGATGTAGTCTGCTACCTGCATTACGATCTGTATCGTAGAATGCAAGCAGCAGCTGCGCTTGTAGGAAAGGAATGGGACAAAACGAGCCAAGCTGCAGAGACAAGGCTTGGGTCACTTGATTATTAGGTGCTGTCCTAAGGCCCAAGAGACGAGTTTTTTTTAATTATTTTTGAGAGAAAATAAGGGAAACTTTAAGCATGCTATCAAAAAGCCCTAGCAGATGATGGTATTTGTAACCGAACACACTTACCTGTTCCGCAAGCACAACGAACACAGCACCAAACCGCCATACGCTTCGGTAAACTTCTGCAGAGCTCTCAGTCCCGTTACTGGTTCTGCGAACTTTTGTCTCGCCTCTGCAGCTGAAAAGAGCTTTTCAGCAATCTGCTCTGGGAAACCAATCAACGAGTCAATGTGGTCAACATTGTCAGAAATGTAACCCAGCACCAGGCTGAAGAGAGACTTGGCCGAGTACCGGAGGTTCCCCTCCTTGGTGTACGTGAAGATGAAATGATCAGTCCTCTGCCTCCTTGCCCTGTCGTCCTCCCTGTTCATGCAAAGCTCCACCGAGAATCCTCTGGCAAACAGCCTAAAAGGTCTTGTTTTGGGAGGGACATGCTGGAAGCCGCCTGCGCCCCGATTGACCACGTGCAGCTTCCCGTTTTCGCGCACGTATATTGGCCCGGTATCCAAATGGCCTTCTGAGTGGAGACAGTAAGACATTCCCCTCGACCAGCTCTGGAAAAACAAACCGTAGACGGGTAAAGCACGGCCGCAGAGGAGAGCGCTGCCCGGGGAAGACCCCAAAGGCTGGCAGCTCCCCTCACGCCTGAGTGGAGACAGTAAGACATTCCCCTCGACCAGCTCTGGAAAAACAAACCGTAGACGGGTAAAGCACGGCCGCAGAGGAGAGCGCTGCCCGGGGAAGACCCCAAAGGCTGGCAGCTCCCCTCACGCCCCCGAGCACGGCCATGTAACCCTGCAGCGCTGGGACAGGGCTGCGTGCTGCCCGCCGTCGAAGCGCAAACGCCCGCCAAGTGGGAAGCGAACGCAGG